CTCTCTCTCTCATCTCTCTCTCTTCCTCCCTCCTCTCTCCTTCTCCTCTCTTCCCTCTCTCAATCTCTCTCCTCTCTCTCTCTCTCCTCTCTCTCCTCTCTCTCTCTCTCTCTCTCTCTCTCTCTCTTCTCTCTCTCTCTCTCTCCCTCTCACTCTCTCTCTCTCTCTCTCTATCTCTCTCTCTCTCTCTCTCCTCTCTCTCTCTCTCTCTCCCTCTCTCTCCTTCCCTCTCCCTCTCTCTCCCTCTCCCTCTCCTCCCTCCCTCCTCACCGAAACCTCAAAACTCACATCGAGTTTGTCCTCCTCCCAGCCCGTCCAAGGCGATCCCGGCGCCCAGCTCGGCCCCTTGACGAGGGCGGCCACGAAGTCCCCCCAGGTGCTCATGGAACGAGCCTTCTTCAGCGCGCCCGCCAGATAGAACACCTGCGGCGGGAGAGGATTATCATTATTGTCATCATTATTTTTATTATTATTGCTATCATCATCATCATCATCATCATCATCATCATCATCATCATCATCATCATCATCATCATCATCATCATCATCATTTATATGATCTCACTCTATTATCTTTTATTGTTATTGTTTTTCGTCACAATCGTTTCTTTTATTTCGATTTTCACATATGTCATCATTATCGTTATTAGTGCAACCCAAAGACATCGGTCAGCAGTACCACTCAAATGATAAGGATTATTTTCGCAGTCGTGCTGCTGTTATCATTATCTTTATGCATAAAACTGTGATAACTTTGGTTATGGGTAGGGAAAAATGAGAGGGGGGGGTGACAATATTGTTTTATGCATCATTTGCATGATATTTATAGAACTCTATTGCAAAGCCTATTCTTTTTTGTTTTATTCAGTTGTTACAAGTTTTCAGATTGTAATGGGAATGAGTATAAGACAAAGTACATTTATATATATATAGCCTAATAATATTTTGAATTGTCAATAATGTTATCATCTCTCTCAGCATCGTTATTTTCATTACATCAGTAGAATCTGCATCATTATTGATGATTATTGATATTAGTATCTATATTACCAAGTAAATAGGAGACGTCTGAACACCCAAAAAAGCGACTCGATTCCGCTCTCACACGCACTCACTTGATGGTAAAGAGGGTTAAATGCACTCGGTTGGTAGACGATTCCATAGACGATTTCCTGATCCGGAAGCTCTGGCTGGAAGGTCCCGAAGAGGCGGTCCCAGACGATGAAGATCCCGCCGTAGTTCTTGTCGAGGCAGTACTTGTTACACCCTGGAAAAGGGATTGGGTGTAAGGAGAGCCAGTTGTCGGTTCGACTTACTATTTTCTTGTTTACTTCATTCATATCTTGTGATTTTTTACCAGTATATTGTTATTGATCATTATATCTTTTGAGAGAAATCCTAACTTCATTTAAACCGCATGCTTAAAATTAGACTAGACTCTATTTCTATCTGGCCGCAGCTGAAAGAATCTAGTCTCCTGACTGACTCTGGACCGAACCCAGCAACGTAACGCCAAAGACCCAGCCACAAGTACCGTGGTGAACCCGGTGGTGCGCGGGCGTATTGAACACGTATTCCAAAGGTCCCACGGTTCTGATGGTTTCCGTGTGGATCCAGCACTGGTAGAGGGCGCTGAACTGAACGTGCGCCAACATGTGCGCGGGAGGAACACCTAGAACGGCCAGCGGCAAGTAGAACACCCAGGAGAACAGCCTCTGCAAAGGAGAGTTGCGGAGACCCACAGACACCGTGAACTCTTCGCCGCTGTGGTGGACCTGATGAACTGCCCACAGGACCATGATTTCTGTGGGAGAGGAAGAGGGTGTCAGGTGGAGGGAAACAGAGGGAGGGAGGGAAATAGGTAGTCGATGAGGGAGGGAGGGAAAGGAACGAGAGGGAGGGAGGGAAATAGGAGAGGGACATGAAGGAGGGAGGTACGATTTGATAAAGAACGAGAGGGAGGGAGGAAATAGGTAAGGGACGACTGCGATTGAGGGAGGCAGGGAGGGAGAGGCTTGAGGGAAGAAAGGAACAAGGAAGGAGGGAGGAAATTGGTAAGGAACGACTGAGGACAATTTATCTGAAAAGAAACTGACAAAAAAAAGAAGAATATTGATTACTTCTTGTCAACATTGCCGTATCTTTCTATGAGTCAAAAAGAATTATAAAGTGATGAGTATCAGTAGAAATTATTTTAATGATAATCATTTTGAGAGAGGGAGAGAGAGAGAGAGAGAGAGAGAGAGAGAGAGAGAGAGAGAGAGAGAGAGAGAGAGAGAGAGAGAGAGAGAAGAGAGAGAGAAGAGAGAGAGCTATTGTGTAGAGAGCGAGGAGGGAGAGATAGATAGATAAAGAGAGAGAGAGAGAGAATTCAACACCAGCAATGGTAACAACAATGATGGACCACGCACCATGACTAGCTCGATGAAACCAGTAAAAACCGAAGTCAACGAGGACGATGACGCAAAGAATTTCCAAAAACGAATTTCCAAGTGGCGGG